TGTGTGTGTGTGTGTGTGTGTGTGTGTGTGTGTGTGTGTGTAATGAGGTATTATTTGTTATTAAATAACCTCAAATTCGTATTTAAGTTGTACTTTTCTGACATATGAGTTATAAATTGCGTAAAAATTATAGTATACCTTAAAAATAATTAGAGAAGTCCACAAATTAATTAAAAGTGTTGTTATAATAATATAACCTCTTAAAATAAGAAAAATCGTCATATCTCGACGGAGAAGCAAAATAGGCCAAAAATACCGATTTTTTACGGGCAACTTAGAGGGAAAACAAAAAATTGAGACGCACAAGTAGAGGTGTCATTTGTTGTAATCCATAACCTCAAATTCGTATTTTCGCTCTATCTTTATGAAATTAGAGTTATAAATTGCCAATAAAATACAGTATACTTTAAACATTAATGCAGATGTGCGCGTAGAAATTTAAAGTGTTTTAATGACAATATAATCTTTAAAAAATTAGAAAAAACACCACATCTTGAAGGAAAAGCAAAATAGGCCAAATATACCGATTTTTTACGGGTATTTTCTAAAAGGAAAATAAAATATTGAGACGCACAAATTGAGGTGTCCTTTTGTCTGATAACATAACCTCAAATTTGTATTTGCGGTCAATCTTTATGAAGTTGGAGTTATAAATTACAAAAAAATTGCAGTACACTCTAAACATTATTGCAGTGTATACGAAAAAATTTAAAGTGTTTTTATGACAACATAACCTTAAAAAATTAAAAAACCCCACATCTCGAAGGAGAAGCAACATTAGTCGAAAATACTAATTTTCATGTGTTTACTAAAGAGGAAAAAACAATTAAAGCGTACAATTCGGTTTGGTAAAAGCATGATTTTAAGCCATTTCAAATACGAAATTTTTTTTACTTGTTTAAAGCTATTACAAGAAATTTACTCAATTAACTCGTAGCAATAACACATATAACGGCTTCTCATATAGTTTTCTGTATAGAATGAGTTTAATATTTGATACTCAAAGTTTCACTTTTATCGTGGGTCCCACGAACAACTTTTTTTTTTTTTTTTTGATGAAATGCTGTTATCTATAATTTTGTGATTCGCTCTTATAATATTATTTGATAGAAAATATAAAAAATACATGACCACAAACCAATAGACCGAATGAACTGAAATGCTGTAGGATTATTTACTTGTCATAAATTGTTAGATATGCTTTTTAAGAAGTATCACCATTTATTGACATAACAATGAACTTGTATATCATTTCTACATAATTAATAATGAGGTATACAATATTGATTAAGTCTAAATTTTTATTATGGTAGTTGTCATAACAAGTTTAACATTTTGAAGGTCACGAGTATGCTTGATCCAATGAATTTTTAGTAATCTTATAGTTATTTTAACTTAACTGCAGTATTTTTATAACGAATCAGCAAATATTACAACTTTTACTGTAGCCTTTTTTCAGGGTACTAGTCTTCTTTTTGTTTTTTTTTGCCGATAAAGATAACACTCGTATAATTTTCAAATTGAATTGTATGTCCAAGAAGTATAGGTTGTAGATAATCTTAAAGCAATCAGTGATTCATACAAAAGCTGATTTAATATCATTGTTTGCAAATTTTTAGTACTTGAATACAAGCACTATCTGAGATTCTTCAATATAAAATTGAAAAAAATCATTGTATTTTTTTATTGCTACCTGAACTTCTTTATGATTTTCTGCGCACTACGAAAAATGTTCTATAGAATAAACCAATATATGCATTAAAGGTTTTTAATATCGATACTACAGCACAAAGTGAATAATACTTTGAGCCATCTCCGAAATCGTGACTCACACCACCACCACCACTCTAAACTAATAGAGTATTGAAGTCCATTGCTCCCACCAATTACAATGTTTAGTGAGGCCACGTATTTATTCGCAGCAAATAAAAGCTACTTTTGCTGCGACTCTTCAAATTCGACGACCAATCTACTTTAACTCACGAGCTTTTTATCTCCTACACCACTGGGGTGAACGCAAGCTCGATTAAGTACCTTTTTTCCCTACACCAGCAAGCTTTAGATATTTTTGGCTTCTTGTAATATTTCATTCACGAGTGTTCAAACTATATATATAGAATTTATAGAAAATTAGCATTTTATGAAGACGTGTAGACATACCTACGCGTTATGGCATCTGATTCAATTCTTTTTGCACTGTTGGGTATTGCGTTGGTTATAAGTAAACAGCTAAAAGAGTTTTTGTATGAAATGCATGCATAAAACATGCTGTTATCTGCTACTTAATTATTTTAACTGCTTTGACCAACATTTTCAGAGTATAGAGTATAGCGTAAATCTTTTCTGTCCCTTTTTTTAATGTATAGTATAGCCTCCCTGACATTGGTCACTTCCACCAAGGAGATAAAGCTTCTCCTCGTTTGTTGCAGTGTTATTTTAAAAAAATTGTGTTACTGTAATAACATGTCATTACGTAAATTCTTACCGTAGATGTTTATGAATTTTTACGGTAGTTTACAGTAATTTTTACGGGTACTGTAAAATTCATCCAAAATTCACTATAATTTTTACTGTACGGCAACAATAAAATTTCCCCTGAAAGTGCATATAGCTATAGGCTGCAGGATCACGTGCGCTGTAGAAAAGAGCTGACCAGATGTTTTTGTTGTAGTGAGCTATGTAACCCGTATGAGAGAACGAGATAGAAATAACATCTGTATTACTTAAATCAACGTATAGATGAAAGTACGGGTATCTTTTATGAATGGCTATAAGCGAAGGAGTACTGCATCATGTGTCTAACAATTTGTTTAGTGCGTTAAGTACCAATTCTATTAATGCAGATATCCACACAGGTCTACAATTTGTAGGTTAGTTCACGCTTTAGCAGACAACTGATCAGGTGTTCGGCTTTTTCCTCCAGCCAACGTTTCCCTGCACCCTATAGCTATATATACTCTTTCAGGGGAAATTTTACCGTTGTCGTACAGTAAAAATTGTAGTGAATTTTGGATCAATTTAAAAGTTACCATAAAAAATACTGTAAACTACGGTAAAAATTTATGAACATCTACGGTAAAAATTTACGTAATGACAAATCATCACAGGATTACCGTTGCTTCTACAATAAACATTCCTATAATTTTTTTCTGCGTGTGCAAATCTCCCAAAAGTAATTATGAAAGGTATGACGGAGAGTAACGTTATTTAAGCCTTTTTATACAAAAGATAGTCCTATGAAACAGATTCAAAGAAAGTTTATTAAAAATTTCTCTACAACAAAGCACTTACCTAAGCGCATACTAGCAAGTATCATTAATAAAGTTATTAACAGAAATTCCGAGTGAGAAAGATATCAAAAGGTATCAGCGATAAACGACAGTGATGTCATGAACGTGACACGTACAGCAGAAATACTGGAAAACATTTCATTGTTCGTTAGTTGCTCGTGAGGCTTTTCTAATCTAGCACCTACGCAGTTACATAATAGTATTTGTAGGAAAATGTCCGATGATGAAAGGGCAATAGCGTTCGTTATGAGTAATCAGAAACTATGGGACGAGTATAACGATTCTTCTTGTGGCCGTGACTCTCATTTGATTACCTATTCCAGCAATGCTACTAAAGAGTCGAGGCAATTGGACCTGAAACAAAGCAAAGATTACTGTTCTTTACGTGTCAGCGATAAAGTATGTGCATTTGGCAATTGCGTTTTTATAATTAAATGTTTCTAGGATGTATTTTTGAAATTAAACGAAATTGTGTTTTTTGCAGAAAAAGATCTGCCAGAAGGAATTGGATTGTGCTGAATTTGACAAGAACACAATTAAGGTCACTGTAAGTATCAAACAATTTTTCTTTTGTTTTCTCCTTATTAATTTTTATAACGCTTTATGTTTTGCATGGGTTATCCTAAAATTAAGTAGAAAAAGTCCGTGAGGAGTTTTTAATACTCTAGGAGTTAAAAAAAGTTACAGTTCTTAGTATCTTTGGAAAAAATCATCTTAAAACTTTCATTTAGCTCTGCTATAAGTTTAAGGAACAGAGAATTAATTCTGAAAAAATTAATCGTTTCGTAATATTATTTTTAGTCGTAGATAAAAATCATAAAGTATGGTTAAAGATCCCTTAGAAAAGTACGAAAAATTAAATTTTCAAGAAATGTTACTATAATGAGGAAGATCAACAAAACTGTAATATTCTTATTTTAAAAAGCACTTTTTGCACTTTTTTTGCTGTCAGCTTGCGATGAATTGACTTAGACAATCTTAATAGCATCCTTTGGAAGACAATTAATTAAAAAAATTAATTTTACTAAGATACTGTTTAATATATAAAGCCCCCAAAAAATTAGAAGTAAAATTAGAAAAAAAAATCTGATCAATTTTCACTGTTTGTTCAATAACAAACTAAGCCAGCACGATTATGCCCCAAAACTATTTTTTATATAATCTAATCATAACGTGAAGTGATTTTAACAAGTTTTGTC